TTTAAGCTTGTTAAGTGCTTTGGGCTGAAAAACGTTGAGTGAATATAAAAATATTACAGCTCGTTCACCAAATTTGTTTAAAAAGATAATCAGGCTCTAAAGTGATCTGATTTAATGAATGTGTGTAGCAATATATGAAATTTCACTGTGGCCCCATGTGATTTCATAATGATATGTGCCACACTTAATTCTCATTCATACTAAAGCCAGTTTGCAGTGCTTTTACAATGAAAAGCTTAAATTAAATGCAAAAATGGGCCCAGGGGATGTATTCTTTTCCTGCTGCTAGGGCCAATGATAGGACTGAAAAGAGAGGGATGGGTCCTTGGAGCGATTGTCCTTGGACCTGGAAAAGTGCTCAAAGAGGCCAAAGAATCCATCTCCTACTCGTAGTCCCTGCAAGAGTTGCTGCCTTCACTCTTCTTTTTACCACTTTTTCTCCACCTACTGTGATCCTTTCTGGCTGCCCCACTGTGGATATTTTAAAGTTTCCATGCTGAAATCAGACATCGTTATCTGAACTGAACTGTAGCAAACAGTCCAATGTTAAGAACATCTAAAGACATCAGGAGATTTTCTGGATTTTTTTTTCAACAGTGCTTTAATAAGTATTATTAAGTGCATGAAGTTATAATCATCCAAGGACTTTCAGATTTGGTTGTGATCAGCTCAGTTGTTAACATATAGAAGACAATAATTGATTAACCCAAGTGTCCATTTATTCTGCAGTCCCTTTCCCTGCAGAGGCCTGTGTATGCATAAAGATAATATGGTTCTTCTTTAGTCTAGCCAGCTTCTAACAGCCTCAGACTTACGAACTTTTGAGCCTGAGGCTATATCCTGGTGTTTTTTATTGTCCCCAATGGCTCTTTCTCCGATTAATTTCTCTAATGATTTTGAACATATGTAAAATTTTGGTAACTACAGACTATATAGAAAAGAGTTTCACTGTTTAAATGTATGCAGAATGAGCAAATATTGAGTTTTTACTTATTTTAGGACCTGCCACCTGATCATTTTACTGGTTTCCCTTAATTCCTGTTATAAGAGATAGTCAACTGCTGGCCCCTTCTCACTGTCTCCTTGCCAGCTGGGAGATCTCTCCCACATGCCTCCTCCACATCAAATGCCCGCTATAGCAGCTCAGCTCCCTGGCTGACAGTGAAGTCACAGAGACCAAAGCCAAGCATGGAGACATGTCAGCTCAGATACTCCTTAGGACTACTTCACTTAAACAGGAACAAGATACATAAATCAGACAACATTTGGTAGCACAGTTATATCTTTTCATCTATTTTAGATTGGGAGAAGACTTCAGATACTAAAACTGTTGATTACATTAACATGACATTAAGATAAATACAAAACTGGCATAAAACAAAACAACCTAACTGTTAGATTATGAGTGTTTCAAAGAGCAATTACAGAATCAGCAAGGATATAAGAAGAGCTTCCTTAGGTTTAAACTCTATCGCTGCTCCAAAGCAGTGAAGTAGCCATTGAGTGATGCCACGGGTCTCACAAGTAGAATCACAAGGTACAGGAGGAACCTGGCTACATAAGCATCTAAACCATTATTTGTTTGGGACTTCCCCCCTCCCCCATTCCCAGTGTAGAATAGCTTAAGCATTAGGTATTTTTAATTTCTTATAACTTGTGAGAAACTGGCTAAGTTGGCAACTGTAAAGAGGCTGGGGCTATATCACAGTCTAATAAAAGCCCTAATAAAAATTTTAAACTGGTTCACACATCTGCAGTCTGTTGGGGGGGTATTACATAATATGTGCCGTTTCTTCTGTGCTCCCCACTATCCCACTGGTTCTTATGGGGGGAAAAAGTGTTACTATGACGTCCCCTAGGCACTTTTATGGCCTTCTCTGAACCACCACCATCTTCAGACAAACCTCACGAGAATTTATTAGAGGGATATAGGTAATTCTCTGAAGTGCCTATAATTCTCACTTCTCAAGATTGTTTGAAAGTATTACCTACCTTCTGATCCACAGATTCCTTCAAAGGGAGATAAAAATACATGTCTGGTATTTTTATACCCTGGATAAAAATAATCAAGCTGGTCCTCTGGGTCCCACCAGTGTTTTAAAACATTTGTTCCTTCAAGTGCTGTGATTTTACCACATGATCCACAAAAGAAAGCCCACAATTAATTTTCAAGATTTGAAAATAAATGAATAGAGCTGTTTAAGCCCGTGCACATCCAGGAGGTTGCGGAGTTTTTCTCATTCTAAATGTTTTTAGAAGATGAAGTAGATTGAGCTAATAGTATCTTGTTGGTTATTCCTCCTTTTTGTATGTATCAGGGTGCTATGTCCAGTGGGACGTACAGTGGGATTTCACAACATTTGATCAGGCAATAAGATTCAGACCTTGCCCAACCGAACCAGTTTTTCAATGGCCAAAGATGATGTTCGATAATACAAAGCTACAGCCTTCCCTTGAAATGTAGACCTACAGCTCCATTATGCAGTCTTTACGCACTCAACTCACCACGTTGCATGTGCTTCCCATGGATCATGCTTCTAGCATCGCAACAGAACCTGAAAAGCCACACTGCAAAGCCATCTGAATGCCCTTCGATTACAGAGTTTGCAGTATTTCAAGATACATTTTAAAGATGTGCAAGCTGCCTTTCTTTCTCTATTCTTTCCATTCAAAGGAAGTCATTACAGCAAAATGCTGAGAGGCCGGGGGGAACAGTGTCTCGCAGGAGCTGGTAGAAATTTACTTTGAACTCCAATGAAGAACACTTCCACTCTGTTTATTACTAAATCTACTGGCCATAGATGATCCAAGGCTCATAAACTTGGGTATGATGGAACTCTCTAAGGAACTATTAGAGAGAGAAAGAGAGAGACCCTCTGTCATTATGACTGTAAGCAAAATAGTGATTGAATGAAACAAATCATTCTGTGCTCTCAGAAGATTCATGGTACACAGCAGCTATTCTCAGACTGCTGAAGGAAACTGAGAGGGCGAGATGCTCGTTCAAGTATCAACATCACCTTTTTTTTATATATATAGTTTTTCTGAGCTCCCTGGAATTACCTGCTTTATATTTTAGAACAGTTTTGACGATTATGACAGAATTTTAGGCAAGTTTATTTGGGAAAGGAAAATTTGTTTTATATCACAAAGTACCCCAAATTGCCAAAATGAGGATGAAGGGGAAGCCCTGGTTTTTACTTTTCACATTAATTATTTTAATTTATTACCTCACCTTATGAATTTAGTGTGTTATCTCTTCATGATGGTCCCATCATATAAGGTTCAATCTTAAATGAGAATGATTATCTTCAGTTCACATATATGTTAGTGGGAACTGAAAGATGCAATGAGCAGGAGCAAAAGAGAATTTATGTGGCTAACATGGGCATTACATGATAATCCAAAACTCTGATCCTGAAAACCTCTGCTCAGCTGTCGCCTCTCTGTAGAGACATTTAAGCTTCATCACTACATTTATTTTTGAAATTCCTCAGATGTCAGTCCAGAGAGGCAAACATAACTTTGTAGACTGGTGGCAATGGCACTCCCTGGAGTCCAAGAGAAATCAAAGACCCAAATTTTTTTTGAGGCTATTTTATGTGCTGGCTGCTAACTGTGGAACGTGTCTGTGAAGCAGGACTGGGCACCTAGGTCTTTCTTATCCCTGTGAGTACCCCAGTGACTAGGCTACAGGAGTAGCCCTCTCCCTGCTCTAACAGCAGGAGAAGCCCAGAGGCTCGATAGATGCAGATTTGCGGCAGCTTGACACAGAAGTGGGAGCTGATCTCAGGTCTCACGTTCTCAGGAATACTGTAGCCCCTTGCTGTTGTTTTACAGGAAAAGCATGACTCTGCTTTGGCCCTGAAAGGGTGGATAAAGGCTCTCCTTTCAGGCAAAGATAAAGTGAATTCGCCTTTGGCACCGAAGCTTCAAAGAAACACTGGTTTAAGACAAAGACCTGTCCTCAGAGTTTGCATGAATATGCTAGGGAACTCTGTTCAGCTCGCAGGTTGTTCTGACATATTCCGCTGTACTCATCTAAGCCCATGGCACAGATTCCTAGGAGTTAGTGATTGATACCTATCTGAAGCTGATAGCTGCTGGAATGCTTAACTAGGTCTGGCTGGGTTAACCATTTAAGAAAATGATTAGTTTTAAAAAGACTTAAACATATGCACTCACTTAAAGTCAAGCCAAGGACTGAACCAAAATCCAAACTCCTTTGAAATCTGAAGTTAATAATTGGCATGACTGGTCACAACATTTACGGTGACTGAAAAATAAAAATGTCTATCAAGTTGCTCTCTTTGTAAATCTCAACTACAGTACAGGGGAAAATGCAATAAATGTTAAGAACAATTTTACAAGACACCTGTAAGCTTTGGTTTATATTTATAAAACTAGGACTAATCCTTGAAAAATAAAAGATAAATTCTTATCTTCCTTGTCAAATTTTTATAATCCTTTTTTTGTGTTTGCATGATCTCATGAAAATAGAAGAACTATTCAGAAAAGAGTTTTACTCCAACTGCTCTTTCCAGGGGTAAAGAAATAACAAATTAACAAAAAATAAGTCATTTTAGCAGGGTAAAGAAATAATGAATTAACAAAAAATAAGTCATTTAAGCAAACAAAATTACTCTCAACAGGCAAAATATGTTGCAACTAAATCAGAAGAGTATATTCACAACAGTCCTTTGACTTATATATGTGTATTCCTGTTGTCAATATGTTAAATGCTCTTCGTTGTTGACTCTGGAATAAAATAGTGTGTAACATGGTTGAACACAGTATTTTATCATTACTGTAATTATGTCATCTATTACCATCGTTTTAGCATTCAGTTAGGATCAGGACGTGCTTGGCATGTTTCAAACAAACTAATGAACAAGTCTCTCATTTAAACATCTGCCTTCCACATAGTGGTAAGATACAGGAGATGGGGCTGGAACTCAAAAATAAAATCAATAACAGCTTTTCCATCGGCTTAAGTAACTTTTGGACCAAATCCTAAATGTACCATTTGGAGGATTTATAGGTTTCTTTCAATAGACATGAATAAAAGCCTTTTTTATTAAATTATGCATTTGCTGCTGTGGCTTATGGAAACGGCATGCCTATCTACTACTAGTATGACGGACCTCAGTTCTAACAACACTTATGCATTTGTTTAGCTTTACATGGTGAATAGACATAGTGTACAGGACTGAGGCTTTTCTTAATTGTATAACATTTTTATCTGGAGATGTACCAAATCCAGACCTACTTTTCTCTGACATTTGTTTTTGTTTTTAATCCCTACTCTCTCATTCTGGCTCCTTGAATCTGCATTTCTTTGCACAGAGCACCACAGGGAGTTGTATCCACACAGAATGGACAGTAGCCTGATGGACAGGGCGTCCTCATAGAGACACAGGCGCAAAACATGGGGCTCTTGCTCCTGAGGTACGTACTCTCAGGCCTGAGTATTATATGGATGACGTCGTGCCACCAAAAGAGCAAGCTGAGCCTGCCAAGTACTTTGAAAGAACAGTTATGCTCAGAAGATAGTCTTTTTGGCCTTGAATCTCAAGTAAACAAAGAGAGTTAAACTCGGGAAAAAGATTGTATTTCAAAGTCAGTAAGCTTAGGTTCTCCTGTTGGGTAGATTGAGGTTGCTGTATACTCGTCATGTAGATTTTTTTGGTTATCCTTTTCAGGTATGAGACATGTGCAATCCTTCAAAGAGATAGCCTAAGTGCAGGGTCATGCACACAAAATGTAGGCGTTAAGCCCTCTGAAAGTACGGTTTGATGATGCAGTCCAGTACATTTATCACTGATACCGTAAGGAGACAGTCATTCCCCAGCACCACCCACGTGCCCCTGCTGTGCTGTTCTGCCAAATCCTGAACTGATTCACCTCACTAAGCACTGGTAAGCTAATTTAAAACAATGTGAATTGTTTTAGGGAGCTGAACTGACCTAAAGAAGAGACCAGGTAGTCCCTGAGCCTTCACAAGGGCCAGCAGCAGAGGCAGAAGGATGAGCAAAGAGAGCAGCACAGCTTTTTCAGAGGCAGCAAGCCTTTAGTTTAGCTCAGCTGATTCATCCAGCTGTAGCCTAGCTTGCAAACGGCTAATGCCTTCATGGCATCTAGCTCTACTTTTCTGCTACTTTTCTTTCTTTAAAGGTAACAGTGCAAATTTCATTAGAGTGCCTGTTGTGAGCAGCGGTTGCATTTTGTTTATTTTCTGATTTAGGTGAGATTTCCTTTCTTTCCTATAGTTAAGTCTCCCTTTTTTCTCTATTTCTTCTAGTTGCAGTGACCACACAGGGAACAACAGCACAGACATCCTTGCCTGAGAGGAAAGGGCATCCCAGCGTGCTATCTTGAGCTGTTGTTGGAGAGAGACCGCTGAAGGCTCAGCGGTAGGAGAGATAAAGAAAGCCACTTCATTCCAAAAGGCACTTCTCAGTGCCTAAAAAGGCAGTTTTAACTAAGAAGGCAGCTGTGAAATAATGCTTTGACTGTTTGCAGTGATCCTATATATCTGGCTATGAACTCACTGATAACATAATAACATTTTTCTAAGGGGAAAAGGAGGCTGGGTATGTAACAACTATAAGGAAACATATCATGTATCACGCAGCCTTATTTAGGCAGCTCAGCGAAGGACTTATGCCCATGTTTAATCACATGCTTATACCATTAGTAATGCTAACATGCTTAAGCTACTAGCAGCATGAAGATGGATGGGCATGTGCTCAAAAATGAGGCATGGAGTTCACTGCTTTTAAGAATTCTGGCCTTAAAATGGTGCTGATGGTACATGGAAATCTTTGGAAACATTCTGCATTATTTGTAGAAATACTTCTACAGGAAAAAAAATTCCTTGCTTTGGATTTTCTCTTTCAGGTTCCTTTCTTAAAAGGATTTGCCTGAAAAACTCATGAGCTTTTTCTATTCTACAAAAATACATAAATAATGCTTTATTTTACAATGTTTGCTCTGCAAATTCTGAGCAATTTGCTCTGAAAAACAGAAGTCAGTGATTTAGCTGAAAAGGTTCCTGGAACTGCTGAGGGGAAGACCCAGTTTTTTTGTCATCCCCACAGTGCTTGAGTCACCAGATCCTACTGCTGCTTTATTTCAATTTGTCTTTTTAGTGCCAGGAATATCTGCAAGCTTCATGAAGTAATGCTTCTTCCATGTTAAGCTAGAAGATATAATGAGCAGATGTTTTGGACACTGAACTCAAAATCAGGTTATTTAGAGATTTAATAAATCTATACTATGCTTTCCTTCGCTTCTACATGGCTTCTTCATTTAAATTATTCACATCCTTTTATTTAAGGGCTGCATGTGGAAAGAAAGGGGTCTTCAGGATGAATTTAAGTCAATAGAAGGAAATAGAAGGATAACAGAAGAGAAAAGGATAATCTCCCATGGACATAAGCAGAAAAAAAAAAAAAGGAGAACTAGTATGGAGTGTCCTGTTAACCTCTTCCAAAAACTGAAGATACTGCACTTTTGATGAAGACTAGAATAAAATCACTATTAAAAAACTTTCAAGGTTCAGAAGCATGTAGTCGATTCATTAATTTTTCACATTGTACATTTCCAAAGTCCATCTAGGGCTAAAAGCAGGAGTGCCAAAATACTCTGAGAAAGATTCATTTCACAATGTTGCTGGACCTAACAGAAGCTGAACATGGAAAGAAAATCATGAAAAATCCATATTGCTTGAGATTTATTGACAGTTTTGTAGATCCCAGATGTTTTAATGATTTATGTAAGCTACAACTATTTGAGAGCTTATCCAGACTCAATGCCAAGATGTTGAAAATTTGTCTATCACTTCTCTTAATGGCCCACGGAACACGAAGCGGTGAAGTAAGTGTGTTTTTCCCTTAAACAATGGAATAGCTGATGAGGCCAATGGGAGAACACAGCGGGGGTGGGATACTTACTCACATCTGCTCTTCGACCAGAGACCTAGGCAAACCACTGCTTGTTGATAGGGACAACCGCCACACAATATAAATATGGATCTAGGCATGGGTGGGATACCAAAGGCCTCCGCTTCCATCAACTCTGTTCTGGAGCTGGAGCTGGAGAACCAGCTCTGAAGTCGAGATCCAAAGTGGCTGCTGGATCTGTACGTTGCTTGTCGGAGACTTGGTCGTAATCTACAACCTAATCTTCCTGCTCTCTTGTACTTTGAAAGGACTACATTGCATGTAATCAGCAGTCGTGAGATTGATTCTACAAATACAGCAGCTGTTCACTGGGTGATTTTCTCAAATGGGTAGTACGGCAGGAAAAGAAAAAGAAATATGCTGTAAAAGTTATTATCAAAGTTACTTTACCTCTCTTAAAAATGTGGAAATCTTTATTCTTCTGGCATTACTGCGGAACAGTTTAAGGAACGAAATGTATTCAATATTTTGTATGGAGCAACTTCCATCAGACTTTGAGGGAAGTTAATAAATCAACAGAAAGCACTTAACTGCAGCATTTTCATGGGTCCAGTGGAATTCTAAGCAAATAACAGGTTTGTAAGAATGAAAAGTCACTTATATTATACGTACAATCAAATGTTCAAAGGAGTGTAAAAGATGCTTAAGTGTTAATATTTTATGTAGCCTTCGCTCTCAGTAGTAATTGCCAGCCATTAAAAAGAATGTTAAACCGTAGCTGTTAGCACTGGCACAGCCCCAAGTAAACACTGAACCCTCACGGAAGGGGGTTAATTGCTACAAGAAGAGGTAATTTATTAAGGAACACTGAAACCCTGTATACACCTAAAGATCAGACTGAACGGCAAAAATCTTGTGTGAATATTACATCTGATAATCAGATTTTTCCTACACTGCACTTTACAGTCTCGACCTATTCAGAAAACTGAAAAACCAACAAGTTTTTCTACACGGCTCCTATAAACCTTTACCTGGTGCCCTTCAGTCTGCCACTTTCCCTCCCTGCCCTTTCCCCTCCCTGGAAAGGCAGTTGCTCACTAAAACATAACCTCACTGGCAGGAAAAGCCACGGGGACAATCAGAGGCGGTGGGAGGGCGGCTCTTTTAATTCCTTTTGCTGTGTTTGGCACACTGTGCTAGAGCCTCACTAGTCCTGCACATGTCCAGTTACCTTTTATTTGATTGATAAACTTGCATTTTTATGAATCTTGTTAAAAGGCCGTCTTCTGCGGGGCCCCAGATCTCCTTAGACAAGACAAGGCAAATAAAAGTGCGCAGCGACTAGTGCTTCTCACGCAATCATCTCATTAACAACTTTTTTTAATGACCTCCTGGAAAAACACAGTTTAGTTCTTTAACTATCACAAGTGGACTGCTACCGCTGAATCTCCACGCGCTGCTTTAAGGCCGTGACCCACCCTTCTTCTGACAACATTAAAAGCATTGCGCACACTAGCAGCACCCCATTAAGAACTGCTAATAGGCAAGTCTGCAGATCCAAGGACAATATCCAGTCCCCTGGTTAAAAGAAAGAGTATCAACTTTTACGTCTCTCTCTGACATAATCTTTTTCTTGGTCTGCCGTGCAGCTGTCTCCTGCATATTTGGTGTTTGTTTAAGTTCAACTTGAAAGGTATACAGAATACATGGCAGAGATTTGCAGTTTGGAAAAGCCAAATTTTATTATTTAGTTTTTAGAAACTCTGTCTTTATAAGATGTAATTAAAAGCCTATTAAGGACCCTGGGAATTCTCGTACCGTGCTCAGCAGGATTTGGATCAGGACCATGAGCTGGAATATCTTGAAATCAATTTTTAAAAGCCCAAACAAACCAAAACCAGACTTCTGAAAACGCTCCCATTCTATGCTTCTGTGTTTCGCCTCCCTCGGAAAGGTAGCACAAAAGCAGGAAATGAGCAATCTGATAGCGGTAAGGTTTTCTATCGCAGGAGCTGTTATCCTCACATAGCCCTCTTGATCTCTAGAGGAAGTAAGAAGCGTTATATCTGTTCAAACTAATCTAAACTATTAATCTAAACGGAAATGTCACTATAATACACTGAAAAGATTTGCAATTGTATCTATTTTGACATAGTTTATTTTGCACTACTAAATGCCATTATTCTAGGGGGACATTTTTATTTTTCATGGAGGAAATTCTATTTACTCAACCTTTTGTCTCTAAAATTTATTGCAGTGATGGCTGTACCTTACCTTCTAATAGGATGGATTTAAGGAAGTACTACATTCCTGCAGGTGTTGATCCCACTCCTGTAACTTAGTTGACATTTACCATGTACTTTTGACAACAAATGATCTACACTGGTATAGGATTGGTGTAAATGAAAGGAAAATCCTATCTTAGTGCTTGTAAAAAATTTCTTCAAATTTTCTGAACTTGGAGTCTCATATAATAAGCCAAAGCCAATTTTGAGAAAACGGATCTGATAAAATTTGTGAATTTATACACGGTACTTTTTTCACATCTAATCGCTGGTTCATAGGACTTAACAAGGAATAAGTGTGCAAAACTGAAAAATCAAATTTTTCTCAGCTTAACATTTTATTCGACTTAACGAGGAGTGAGTGTGCAAAACTAAAAAATCAAAGTTTTCTCAGCTTAACATTTTGGTCAGATTCAAATTTTGAATAAAAATCTTAATCTTTTTTAGATTTCTTTTGCTAGTTCAGCCATTCTCTTCAATTTATTTTCTAAGCTTTTTTGTTTATTCATCGTTTTTATTGTTCAAATATAAGACTTTGAGGCAATGTCCAAGAATTAGTCACTCAATTGTTTTAAAAATATTCTTCTAATCCTTTATTTTCCTTTAAAAGGTCATCCAACAAAAAATTACATAATTCCAGCCATTATTTTTGAATTAGTGATATTTATATGAATATAGTTGAATGAATCGAAAGTGAAATTGAGCAGTTTTTTGAAAATAGCCACTAGCTGCAGTGCAGCTGTACATAACTTGGAGTGCATCCATACGTAACCTGGAGTTCATCATACACACACTGACCGCATAAGTCAAAAAAGTGCTAAGAACAGTTTTAATGTCACCACATATATTAAAAATCTCATTCTTTCAATGAAATGAAATCTATTCTGCATGAAATTGAGGTCATTCCCAAAAATGTTAATAGAAATTATTGAAATTTCTAAGTGTCTCCAAATTTTTTCTAAAATACTGCAAAGAGATCTGGAGTTCAGATAATTTATTTTGCAACACAGTGCTTCTGTAGCACATGGCAGTGTTAATAATTAGATTATTTTGTCCTGACTGATCCCAGTTAGGCAGTTCCGCTACTTGGACATCTCTTACAACGTGCTATTGGCATATGATTCCCATGACGCACTGCAGAGTTTGCTAGGGGAAAATGGAAGCACATTGTGAGAGACAGAGTCCATCCAAGGTGGACCTCAAAGACTAGAGCTCAGCTACAAAATGTTTACTTTTTTTGTGGTAATGCTGCTTAATAGGCAGATATAGGTTAAAAAGGAAGTTACACAGAATGTTTCAGTTCAGCACAACAAATTTTAAAATTCCACTGAGATGCAAGCCAATCTGAAATGAATCTTTCACTAAATATTAGACATTTCTGCAAAATAATGATTCGTCATGGCAGATTCCAATATTCTACAGAACCATTCTGAGCCTCAAAACTTCCTTAAATGTCAGAGAGTTCTTACACAAGTTGCCTGGCACTGCTTTCTGCCTGGTGTCGACCATGAGTTGAGTGTGTGTCAGTGTATCCTAAAGCACACAATAGTGTATTCCTACCTAAAACAGCCCTGAAATGTTGAGCAACGAGTCTAGAAATGTCGAGTACTATCGTAAACATGGTGTTCTTCAGCAGTCGCATAGCCCATATCAACAGGGATTACTGTAGCCAAATGACTACATTACCATGACATGGGAGCTACTGCAAAATATACTACTACAACGCTCTATGAACAATTTCCATGTGTCTCATAATAATTTTTTGTGACTCAAATGCATCAATGTAGTATAGAGCAAATACAGGCACCAGAAGTTAATAAGTTATTTATACAGCACTACATAATACCAGATATCTTGCAGACAAGTTCAAAGACGAGATGCAAAAATGCAATATGCTGTACATATAAATCTAGGGAACGGAAAACAGGGAGCAGCTTTGCTCATATGAAGATTTTTGACCATGCACCTGAGCTTCTGTTATAGGCATTGTTCAGAGGTGCGGTATGATTACTCTGATGTTTTTGTAAAAGAGGTAATGAACTTCCTAGGGGCCTCGCATAATGGCTTACTTTTTGCCTTGTACACCTATTGCTAATA